CAATGTGATTTCCTGGATTTTTTTTTTCTCATTTTGTCTCTCATATTTGAAGTGTACTTTTGATGAAAATTACAGACCTCTCATCTTTCTAAGTAGGAGAACTTGCACAATCAGTGGCTGACTAAATACTTTTTGGCCCCACTTTAGATGAATGTCCTTTGGTGCATTTTTTATTTTTTTACCATTTCCCGTTAGTACCTTATAGTAGTTACTTGTAGATTAACTACCAAAACAGCACACAAGATTGTTATATAGTGTAAGAGTTGTACTGTAGAGTTAAGTATTTAGGACAAGATAAATGCTATTTGAAGAAAGTGACTGTTCTAAGGCCATATCCCGCCTACATTCTTATAATGGCTGGCTGAGGGGACTTGGCCATAGATTTGGATCAGTTTAATCAATAGATTATTTGATTTACATCCTAGAAAAGCATTGAAAATTGTAAATGAGAAAATGCTTGCCACAAAAGAAGCAAGACACATTAGTCAACATCACCACTGTATAAAATGATGCTCTCTAGGATCCATACACGATATTGCTGACACATATCACCATTTGCCGACAGTTGGTATGTGCTCTTCAGAGCAGAACCAGACATGTTTAGAAGACTCAGAAATAGTCACATTATCATGCAATTTTCATTTTGTACCAAAAGACACAGGCTAACCCTGTTCTGGCTCAAGGTGAAAATTGGTTGTAATTTAGTCCAAATTGGTTTCTTGATGTCTGTTTTGCATGTGTGTAATCATATTTTCTTGAAAGGAGCTGCAGATTTACCAACTTGTGTGTTGATAATCGGTAATCTGTCAGCCTAGTTAAAAGCAATTGTTTGGTGGATGCAGAGGTTTTGTAGGTCATATGACATATGACACATATGAAAAAGTAGGTGGGATGAGGCTGTCCAGGAGATTACTATTGTATGGTTGGTTATAAATGAAACATTTAAGAAGAATATCAGGAGAAACTCAAATGTTGAGTTTTTCATTACATTTGTTTGATCAACAACATAATGCCAGGTGACTTTAAGTTGTTGGTAAACATTTGCATACATAGCCTAGTGTATCTCTGTGTATAGCAGAGACATTAGATTTAAGTCCTGATGGTGAAAAACTGTATTTTGCCACTTAAAACAAGATTTAAAATGTAAATGATACATTGCCATGTATTGAGCAATATTGAAAAGATGCTCTGTCATGATGAACCTTATTCCAAACTCTTCAAATTGTTCAATGCAGGTTCTTAGACATATGACAGCTTTAACAATTAGACCATGCATTGCTCCTTGCAGTGAGTAATGGTCTTCTTGTATATTTGCGGGGGTTTCTCCCATGTGTCCATCCCTGCATTCATTACATTTTTTCCAGCCATTCAAAATTAAGCAAAGAGTGAAAATAAATATTTTACCACGACCTAGAAAAAATAAGCTTCTGGCTGAATGAAAGGCACATGAGATGTTGCAGAACGCCTTTGTTTTTTCAAATGTAACAACAAGCAGATGGCTTTTTGCTGTACCTGAGCACTGCACATTAGGCATTTAGCTGACTATTTCCTTCTGTGCTATAGTAGCAAAAGAAAACAAGCTTTAGTTCCTGGACTGTCAACCTCCAAGACACATGCCCATGTGCAAATTGATACAGTTATTGTTGAGTATAAAAGTTCTTCAAGTCCATACTGACAGTAAAGTGACCCTTTCAATACATGACTCCAGTACAAGACAGCAAGACAAGATTCCTTGGTCCGTGCAAAAATGCATTGCAGTGCTATTTAGGAGTATTTCATTTTTTTTTATCATCTATTATTTCAAGCTCAACTAATACTTAACTGTTAAGTTCATAACTTTAAAAGCCTTCTCTGCAATATATGTGAAGAAAAAGAACATGAAATTTCCTTCCAGAAAGTAATCGACTGAAAAAGTTGAAGCTTCAGGCCCCTAACAATACTTTTGTGTCCCTAAAATTTGAAGTTCTTAAGAAGGAAACATGAAAAATGAGAGATAGGGAGAGAAGGTAGCTGGGATGTGAGTAGATGGTGTTTAACTTTCAGCGCAATGAGTCTATTTATAATGCAGGTCCCTTACTGAACAAGCCTGATCTGAGCAAAGCTGCCAAAGGGTGCACTGGTTTTTAAAGAGCCTGTGTCTTTAAGGTTTTTAATATGCTGGTCAAATAAGGACTTCCTCATAGACCTTCTCCCTCCTAATGAATTTCAAACTGGACCATTCATTCCACACCACCAGGGCCTCTGTTTGTGTGTAAGTGTGTGTGTATTCATGTATGAATGTGTGTAGCTGTTAGTGTGGGCCAATGCCAGGGGGGGCAGGCAGCACATTAAGACAGTGACTGGCAGATCTCATTTGGTGTTTAATTTCACAAGGGTGAGCTCTCATCTGTGAGGGCCTATTAGCCTCGGGCTTGCTAGCTGAATGATGCTGGTGGTTCCTTGTTGATGGATGGGGTTTATGTATGTTTGTGTATGGTTAGCACTGATGGAAAGTAATCAAGTACATTTACTCAAATAAAGTATTCTGGGGTACTTGAGTATTTAGTAGTTTCAAGCTACTTTATCCACCACATGTCAGAGGCAAATATTATATGTTTATTTGACACCTCTCAGTTCTAGTTACTTTGCAATAATGAGCAACAGGTTCATTGACTAATTGAAAACTGTATGTGTGACAAAATAATCTCAACTCGCAGGTGCACTTACTAACTTTTTTTCTGACCTGTCAATCACATCTCATGATCTGACACCTAAGCAAGTTCATTTGCTGAAAAAGACTGCAAGATGCAGTTGAAAGCTCAGATTATGTGAAGTGTTTGACACTGAGATTTTGTCACACCTATAATGAGCATCTGAAAAATAATGGGTTATTATAAAGTAAATAAAACATAGTATCATACTAAAACTAACAGGGGGCAGTTCTCCCTGCATGCACTTTTACCTTCGATATTTTGTTGACATTTTGCTCATGTTACTTGTGTACTCTATCTTAAAGCTCCAGTAATCAATAGTTTCAGATTAACAATGTATAAAATGACTATGTAAATGTGAAAGTAATGAACCCTCCAATAATTGTGGTATTGCCTGATTACTTAAGACAAGGATCTGAAAACTAGTGGTGGTTAGCATGAAAAAGCTTGTTTTTTAACTGGCCCTGCAGTGCAGAAATGACTAAATTAGTAAGTAGTCAAAACAACAACAAGGTGATTTCCTTATTGACATTTACCTTTTATTACAGTTGGAAAACGGTGAAAAGAAATGTAAAAATAAATATTTTTTAAATGTTTGAAATATTTGGGTTTTTAAAAATATGTAAAGCGGGGAATAACAATTCAGCTTGTTGGACTAGAGCATCACAGGTCAAGGTGAACCACAGCATCCTTGTGTAATATTCAATATTCTAGTGAAGAGCTGCTGCAGACATTTAACATCATAAACACCTGCACTGTTTGAGATGCATCATGTGTCATTGTGCCCTTGTTTCAGATAAATTGCAAAGTTTATGGGCCCCTAAGGGAAATTTGTTATCAGACTGGTTCTGTAGTAAAACACACAATAAAGTCACACAATAAAGTATGAGGCCACAGTAAAAACAATAAACACATTACCTGAAAGTACAATAACACACATAACAAAATGGAGTGTAACACAGTACAACAATGAAGACCCGTATCAGCTCATAAGACCGAACAAGAAGTCAGTGCTTTGATGGAGTCCACTAAATATCTCTCATCAGTGCAAAATGTTATTCTGGACGGCATTAGACCAGGGAGTGAACACAATAACAAACCCAGTACAACAAACCTGCAATAAATACTTGTTTTGCATAGCTGATATTTATTTATGTTGCGACGGTGTCAGAGAGCGCTGCTAATTCAATCCTTTGCTATGTATAGTGTCGGCAATCTGTGTTCTTGGTATATTAGATTGAATTTTAATACAAGGTTATTCATTCATCATCTGGGGGGAAAAAAGGTTAGTGTGTGTTTGTGTGAGTGAGCGGATGGGTGTGTATGTGTCACAACGGTGAAATTGCTCTTCTGAGTTTGTATTTTAAGCTCCCATGCCACACTCCACCATTTGCGACTTCAGAGGGTTGTCTTGTTGTTGACATCAAAAGATTCTCTGTGTTCTTTGTAATACAGATAATTATCCCCATCAGTGTGGACTTTGATGTTTACATAGCTGTGTTATGCTGTGTGTTTGTATGTGTGTACATGGTAATTGTATCTTAGACAATTTGTTCCATTATATGTAACTGTGTGCTTGCATGAACATTATTTCAGGTATTTGGCGCGCATGTGCTGCATGTATGAATCTTATTAAAAGTTTTAAAAAACCATACCAGTGACAATAGAGATGCTTTTAACACAGTTATTGAGTTATTGGTATCAGCCTGTCCATATTTGCCTTTTTGGTCAAGACATCTCCCCTTGTGGCTCTCTGAACCCTCTTGATTTGGAAAAATGTGCTCTCTTCTGTCTCACTTATCCTACAGACCTTTTTTTCTGTACATTATAATAGTTACAGTGACATATATAAAACATAAACGCATGAGTTTATCTGAACATGATTTCAGCACATCTGTCTTTATCTTCTCAGTGGAGAACACAATGATGTTTAGTCATTTTGTTTGCTTGGAAAAGACAAATCACAAGTGAAAAAAAAGATAGATCATAGGAAATTAAAATTACAAATAAGGCTTGAAGATTTACATTGAAGTTATATAACAATAAACAAGGACAAAACTTTGAAGTTGTTCATTTAATCATACTGAAAACAGAACATGTAGAAAATATTATGTCTCAGTTTGATGGTGCTCAGGTACAGAACATACCAGTATACTGTTCCATTCCCTTTCAACCCAGATGAATATGAAGAGCACTATAGAGCTGTGTAACATGTTTTATTTTTGGAAACTGCAGTGGGTACAACAGAGGGATTCTAAAGACTTTGTGTGCATTGTATATTTATTTATTTTTTGTGACTATTCCACTCAGGTAGACACTAATGGGCAGCCTGGGTGTTTGGGCCATGGCTGTGGCCACACTGCTGGGAACCTCAGGGTGCTGGCTGGCTGAAGGGCACAAGGGCAGCAGGCAAGGCACCGCTGATACAGCCAGCATGTCACGTACATCCTCCAAGGAACCACACTCCATGGTAAATATCCTGTGCAGCTCCCATTCATACACACACAAACACACACACACCGTACTGCTTCCCAATGAGGCCATCGCCATCACTCTCTATCAAGCCACAGAAAAACACTTACAGTGATATAAATCAATCATATCAACCATAAATCAAATCAGGGTTGGAAAGAAAAATGGAGTGAATAAATACAGTCTGACAAAACACATTTGTTGTCTAATTTAACACAAACTGTGCTAAATTAGACAACAAATGTTGTGAAGTGGTGCACTCCCTTCTTGTTATCTCCTATACTATGACTTGTGACACGGAAGATGTCAGCATGTACAATTTAATTTTTTAATAATTCCAACACCAGAGATTGTTGTAAAACAAACACTCTTAATGTTAATTCAAGATGTGAACAAAAGACATTTTCTTGTCTTTTCCCATTTCATGTTATTTTTATAATACAGTACATTAGTCATAGTTGGACAACTTGGCTCAAATTCACAGGATGTGTTCCCCGTGCACCTCTATGAAGACTCCACCAAAATTAAGGTTGAAAGCTCAAATATGATCTAAGTGGATGCGGTGCCAAATGTGTCCAAAAGATGGCGCCATAAACGTTATAATGAAGATTTTTTATGTTCGTGATATATTATTAGATTATCAAATACATGGCTTTAAATATCTCCCCAGAATGGTGACTTTAGCTGTCAATACAAAACACGTGGTTCTCGTTTAGAGATGCGCTCTTCTGATTGGCTGATCGTATTGAAAGGAAGTGGAAAGATGCGGATCTGCCGGTTTTGCACCTGTGCGTCTACCTAGTTCAGTGGTCCTAAAAGTCATTGGTCAAGTCGTATGTTAATCTGTCGCCAACCGTTTCTAAAACTAGACAACTTTCTTCCACCGTTATTTTTAGACATTTATAATTAGTTAAGTGCCTGCTTCTAATGAAAATGCGTTCGTCATCAACGTTTTTCGACCTACATGCCTTCACAGCTAGTTTACAGGAAGACAGATAGCGGGTAAGTTGCTAATTATTTAACGTTTCTACCAGAAAGTAACGTTAAGATGCCAGAGTTCCTGTCATAAACTTAATAATCTTGATATTATCTTAATAACTTGATAATGTTAGCTAGCTAAAGAGCTACTTAGCTAACTTGTGAAAACACTCCAACATTAAAAACCAAACGTTACAGCTGCTGGATATGTTCACAATTAGATTAACGTTAGCTAAAGTGTTTGGCTCATTGTCACAAAAAAATAATTTCAATCAATATTATTCTCAAATTTATTCTATTTGTTAATTAAATTAAAATCAGTTTAAAATGACCGACTCCATTTACAAACAAATTTTTGGGAGAACTCGCTAGAAATGAGAAATGCTTAACGTTACCCCCACCAGTCAAGGGGGTAAACCACAGTCTGAACAGTGAAGCTGACCAAAGCATGGAGGGCTCCAGGTAGGCCCAAAAATGACCCCTTGACATCCCGTGGCAGTCACTGCACACTGTAATGACTTTACTATATTTATTATGCAAAAAACACGTTTGACCTATAGCTTCTTCAGGATCACTTTTAATTACACAATAGCAAAAACAGTCACAGGTGTGCTAAATAAGCAGTCTGTAAATCACACATAATCAGTCTCAAATTTTTCTATTGCTTTTCTTTTAGTGTTATATAATTTTTTATAAAAATATCAACATATTACACAAAATTCTATAGTAGAAAAGACATACCCATGATTAAAATGAAAAATGTAGAATAACATACCTGGGTCACAAGAATAGCATCATTTCACAAGTCCATAAGAAGACCTATAGGAAGCTTACTTGTGTGCTTATTTAGCACACCTGTGAGTGATTTTGCAATTTCACAGAGTGAACCTAAAGAAGCCATAGCCAAAACCTCTTTCTCTCAATAAATACAGTAGTAAGTCATGTGCGGTGGCTTGTTCACAAAATGTATCAAAACATGAAAAATATCTGCATAAAATGATCAGCTACTGACATAAACCACCTTTTATAAAATTTTGTCAGCCATATTAGTGTTCAGAAATACGTCACAATCAACAGCTCTTGCCTAAGAGGTGAGGACCTCCAATGTGGCCACCACAGGGATCACTAAATCATGTGAAAACACTATATACAGATTAGAGATCTTCACAAGTTCCCAACACCGAAACAAATTTATGGAAAACCTTCTCCAAAGATTAGATGCTGACTTTAAAAGATTACATACATAGTACATTTAATGCTGTTATATCTACTGTAACAGATTTTAGTTTAACTTTGCAGCCATCTGAGCTTTTTTTTATATTTGAGGAAGGACCTCTGTTTTGTCTGTGAGGCAGCTGAGAGAAAAGGGGCACCGGGTTGTATAGGTACATTATGCAGAAATCTTCACTTCCTCTTTGTCTCTCTCGTAATTTTTTGAAGAGAAGACCTTGAGGAGAAATGGGCAGACAGGAAGAATGTGATGTTAACAGTTACTCTGTGAAAATTACAAGGACATTGTTTGGTCATGCTAGCTGAAAGACAGAAAATTACCATATTCAATTTGATTGTCCCTGCCTAGACCTTTACTGTCTCCAAACAGACTGCTATTAACAGTGTTTGTTACAGCTCATACCTATCGGAACGACAGTTTAAGTGACAAAGATTGCAGTTAATAAGTTAGGTAGCAACAGACAGGGCTAGTTGGCACTGTTTAAATAGATTTGTGGCTGGGTTTAATTATTTTAGTGATTTCTAGCATTAGTCGTCTACATATAATCAGAATGAAAGGCTTATTGAAACCTGTCTTATTCAATTTATGTGCTCTAAAATGTATTTTTGTGAACGGTCAAAGCTACCGAACGCTGTCATAAATGTAGAAATGAATATTTCAGTAGAACAATACTAGATGAAAATAAAGTTAAAGTGACTGAAAAAACAAATCCTTAATATTTATAACCTCAGCACAAAGATTTCAGACATATCAAAAACAGGCATTCATATTATTTACTTAAAAAGGTAAGTACATACTCAATTAGAGCTACGATCCTAACTTCCAACACATTCTAAAGAAATCCAAAGCACATAGTTGTAGCCATGCTGAGAGTGGTTAATGTTACTGTTCATCAGCCTTAACTATTTAAAGAAGCTCAGGATATATCACTTAACAGCGTGCCCATTTGTTGTATTTAAGGCAGAAAAAAATTTCTTGTTTATGTCTGAGTCTTCCCCTTGCTGGTGTCTGTGAAAGATGTGTTTGAACATTCAGCTTAAAGTCCAAGGGTGGATGACTGAACACAGTTGTATGCTATGTATCTTCCATACTACAACTGACAGCTCTGCCTTTATTGTACTTTTGTTAATGGTTACAACTAACAACAACCAGCAAGTTGCCTTACATCAGTCTAATGTTTTCTGTTGGTGCTTCATTTTAAGCCCAGCTTTTTTTTTCTCCATCCATTTACAATAGTTTTGAGAAAACTGCTTAAACACTTAAAATGAGCTTGTCTGGTTGCATCTGCCGTGATGGCATACAAGAGATTCCCAGGCTAAAAAGAGGAATAAAAGACTAGCCCTGTGAGCAAACGGGTCTTTGGCAGCAAGAATGAACCCTTTTAACAAACACAACTGAAACATAAACCCCCACCACGTTGTCAAAAAGACATACGCACAGACAGACACATACCACACAGCCCCGTGGTCATCCTAATTCTTTGTGAAATGAAGCATGTACACCCCCTGGTCTGTTGGCTCACTTTGGGCTTTGCCAAGTTGGCAGCCGGCTGTGGAATGTAATTTTACCCTGGTGGTTGTGTCCTTTAGAAATCCCTTGATGCAAAAAAACAAATTCCCAGGCATTGCCCCCTCCCCGTCTATCTGGCCAGCATTGTAACTCAAAAAGCTGTCCGTTGGCTCCAGAATTTAAAGTCGACCCAGGGGTGAAGTCATGCAAATCTGTGAATTCACATAATTATGCAGGATGCATTGTCAAATCCTATGGGAAAGAATAAGTAGTGCAAGATCGTAATTTTTTTTCCACCTTCTGTGACTAGGGGCAGGGACAAAAACTTAGGGGCACAGAATTGTTTTTTATTTTTTAAGAAACAATTTCATCTTTTTATAACACATTACAGTACACAAACTGTGCAGAAGATGAAGGGCAAGTTGATTTTTGAGGTACTATAAGGTATGAGGGACCTAGCAACAAAGGACAGGAATGCATTTTTCGATCTGCGTAGAAGATGATAATTCTTGTGAGGCGGTGCAGTTGAGGTTCGGATCAGATAGCATTTTATCCAATTTGAATGCAGTATTGAATCTGCTTATGAAATCTGAATCCATTCTTTTGAAGAAACTAAAATAAATAACTAACTCATAAGATTCAGCTGAAATCCATAGGCTAAGAGGACACGCACAGTTTTGAGTAGCAGCCTAATTAATGTTCACAACCTGTAGTTCCAACCTGAACATGAAATAATTCATCGTAAAAGACACTTTATGCCAAAGATGCTTGGTATACATACAGGGTGTCCGCGGGGTCTTAAAAAGTCTTAAAAGGTAATAAATCAATTTTGTGAAAATTAAGGCCATTAAAAAGTATTAAAGTCTTAATCGCCATTTAACAAGGTATTACATTTTGTAGATATATTTGTCAATGTGTAAATCCTGTTTGCCCAAAGAGAGCGATTCTTCTTTGTAACGTTAGGCAAAGGGATCTACCGTGCGAGTGTTTCACTGTCATCAACCCCTAAAGGTAGATCCGTGCAAACCGGAAAACTGATTTACGAGCACAACCGACCATATTCTTCCACCACGCCGCACCCCCCAATGCTAATCGTTCAAAACATAGTTGGACTGAGCTCTGTGGCCGCTTGAACAGCCCTGTTACTCAAAAACAAGATGTACTTGTCAGCAGGTGAAGCAGTAAGACAGAAGACAACAGGGGAAATATAAGCAGCATTTGGGTTTAGCTAACGAAGGCTGTCTATTTGGCTAAATCAGTGCCTTTTATTGAACACGTTC